AGAATAAAGAAAGATAAGTAAAATAAAAACAAAAATAAAACCACACGATACCATGTGAGCCCAGTGATGGAAGGAAGAGCGGAGCAGCTMAGGCTAGCTTTTTGTGTGGTTTTCTCCTGATGCAGCTCAACTCATCCTAATCATTTCTTTTGGATTTTCTTTTTGTATTGTTTTTTTTTTTTGTGAAGTTGGTCTTAAAATAAGTTTCAAGTGGCATTAAATAGGTCTTAAAAAGTGTTAAATTTAACTTGTTTTAAGCTGTAGGAACCCTGATGAACTGGTTGAAGAATCTGAACATTTGTTTTTGTATTTATGAATATTTAAGGCTTTAAAAACATCTTGTGGTTTTTCACTCATGTATGAGTACAGCCCTCATCGTCTTTAATCTCCTCCACACTCTGAACGCTGTGTTTTGTTTTCAGCTGGCACTCCGGAGGCAGAGGGCTCTCCGAAGGACGGACTCCCAGCAGGAACACTTGGAGGTCCTTCAGAGAAGAACAGGAAGCTGCAGAAGAAGTGAGTTTCTTCTTCTAACCGTCCTTTGAGCTCCTTCTGTCTGCAGAGTCTGTTGATGATGTAATGTTTTCTACTCAAGACATGTTTTATGATAAATACTGTTTAGAAAAAGTGTTGTGTGAGCTTTGTGTGTTCACACACCTGCTTCACGCTCAGGCCCACCCCACAGCTCACTCTTTCAGCTCACCCTCTTCAGTTCACTCCTTGTAATCTGCATCACAGCGTTACACAGAGAGTTTCATGTTTTCCTTTATGTTCACGTTTAKACAATCAAACTGTAAAAACACCATCAATGTTTTGTTGCTGACATGAATTGGCATCAGTTCTTTATTTTTATGTTTTTGTTCTGCCCACCCTCCTCCTGTTTTTCTTCTCATTCCATGTGTAGTCCAAAGACAGGGTAAGTTGGTTCACATTGTTTGTCTTGCCTGGTCTTCTTCCCACACTTGGCTTCACGTTGACCTCACCTGTAGCTCTGCAGGAACCCTGACAGCTTTCCCCCTGAATGCCTGGTGCTGTTCTTCACCCTGCTCCCTGCAGAGGAGCGTCACTAACAGGACTGTGTGTGTCTGTGTGTCTGTGTGTGTCTGTGTGTCTGTGTGTGTCTGTGTGTGTGTGGGCTCACTGCAGTGAGTGAAAACCCTTTCCTCTTGAAGCATGGCATTATTACTCACAGACATGGGTTAATGGAAGAGTCCACTAAATGATCTGCTTATTCTTGTGTTTAAAAACAAACTGTAAMATTATTATATAATATTATATTTAATTACAGTTCAGTTGTTTTCGAGGGTCTTGTGTTAATGTGGAGGGTTGGGTGGTGGGCTGACCAGCATCAGTAGCTGCTGATGAATCAGCTCAGGTGTGTTAAAACAGGGCTGGGTCCTTGGAAGGACTCAGCCTACCTGGTCTAGGTATCTAAGTTTGATACTTTCAGTACTTTATAAAGGTTCATTTAAACTCTAAAATAAAGGAAAATGTATTTAAAAGTACTACCAGTATATTCTGTTGTGCAGGAGTCAGACGTCCAGTCGCTCAGCCCTACCATGGAGTGGAGACATTTATATATTTCTACAGTTGGTAGCAGTAGATGAGACCTGCCAGTAGAAATATTCTTCATCAGCTCAGACATAAAATAAAAAGAAAGAGTAGTTTTTAAATAATCTGGTGCTGGAGACAACAGACACACAGCTGGACTTCTTATCATCTCTCTACTCTCCAGTTTTAAATAAAGAAACGTGTCCTGAACTACTGAACAGAAGTCCAGTTGTCGTTGTTGTTGACAGTTTTTGGTACAAAACAGTATACCACCCAGCACTGGTTCTTAAACAACCTCCTGTGCATGTTGTTCCTGCAGACGTAGAAACATTAGACTCAAACTGTTTAAAGGGTTCTGAAACTTTCTGAGGTTCTGGATGTTCCTGTCCTCTGGTTGTTGTGAGGATGTTTGAC